ATATATTTAACAATGTAAATAAACGTACGCGATTAAAATTAATTCCCATTTTATTTTTATTTAAAAAAAGAATCGCAATCTAAGACTTGTTAAAACGTTTCTCAGATAATAACGCGATAATGTACGATTCAATTTTATCAAACCTAACGAGGGAAATGATTGAAAAACGCAAGATTTTTTTTTTAAGACTTTCTATAAGATTGCTTTTACCGAACATTATTATCAATTTGGCTAAACTTGGTTTTGTTAGTTACATATTAAATGTTAGTTTTTATTTTGTGTTTTGACTGATATTGTATAAAAATAAATCTGATAAAAATAGATCAATCTAAAGAGGCTTTCTACTGCCCCCGTCGACTTTAATCGACGGTCCTATGCATGGGTATACGTGATTTTATTATTATTTATTGTTATTTCTCATTATATTACACACATATTTAACATTTATAATAATGTACATTATATTATAACATTAAAATTTTTTCACATTAAATTATTTTACATTGAAAAATAGAATAAACACATATAGAAATATAAAATACAAAAGAATAAGTACACATATAGAAAATAGAAATAGAAAATACAATATAATACAAATCGCTTATTATACATGAAAGATTTTACTAATGCCAGATTATATGAAAGCGTCCGAAGTAACAACACTAAAATTTGCTATTTCAAATATTTAATTTGTAATTATTTCGAAAAAAAGATGCAATGACATGATCACACGCGACGATTCCGTGCATCCGACATTAGTATCACATTATAGTTTTAATCTTATCACACTATTTCTTACAATAACTTTATTACAATTAATAACATAAATAATATACTATACGCAATTGTAATAAAATATTATATTTTTAACTTAATTATGTAATAAAAAATTAAATTACAATTTTATCCGCGATAACCGCGTTATTTCAACGGCATTATATGCTAATAACAAAAAGAACGAAGTAATTACGATCGCGCGTGCGGATTACAAAGTCCTTATTCCTTAA